CTGGTGAAGAAGCGGCAGCTTCCTGAGGAAATCGTGAGTTTGCTGCGGGCGCAGTTTTCAGGTACTGCAAGGGACGCTGGCTGAGGTAGACAGAGCGTGTGCTCGCTCCCTCATCCCGGTTTTGTGTCTTTGCTTGCCTTTATGGTGCTGGTAATCCCCGACTGTTAGGCTCCTAGGACCTCCTGGCTTTGTGGTTTCTAGGTCCGGAATGCAGACACCAATCCTACAGAGAATTGAAGTCTCCCCCAAAAATCCAGTTGCTTGAGGCTGGGTGCATTGTTCAGGTCAGACCTGTAACCAAGGCTGTTAAATCAAACTGTGCCACCATTCAGTTGTCACATGACTCAAGAACAGAGTGTATTTAACTAGGAAAACCTTGTCTTTTGTGCTGCCCAGAAGTGGCTTCTGTTAACACTGATGATCTAACCCGAAGAAGCCATTTCAAATCACAGAGTTCAGCTGGAAGTTGCTGGCTTCTTACTTGCTATGTCAGTTTTTAAGCAGCACCCATGTGTGAGATTCACAGTCTTTACTCAAAACTGCAGAATGACATTCACACCAGACTTCAGGACCGAGTGGTTCCAGAGGCCACACCCCATTGCCTTGTGTTCTGCAGTGTATTTGTATCACACATCCCTCTGTTATGAGCCCTTTATTTGCTTCACTAAAGCTGATCTCTTGTGATTTCTTTTCGAGCAGATTTGCCTTTTGAGCTGCACAGCTGGAGGCAGATGGCAGAATACTCACCAGAAATGAGGCAATTTGCCTGTATTCTCCACCTCTACCATATTAAGGCCTATGATTATCTGCGGAAGATTTTTCCCCTCCCTCATCCCTGCAGCCTGACAAAGCAAGTTTTTACTCATTCCTTCATCCTGAATGTATTTCCAGGTACTCGCGTAGGAATAGGTGTAACAGATCTGTCCCGAAGAGCAGTAATTCAATGGTAGTAATTTTCCCTGCTTTGTTTTTAGTAACAGGAGCAGAGTGGAAAGCAGATGTCAAGGAACACGGATAGCCCTCAGAGAGCTGGAATGTGTTCCTGCATGTGGGACACAGCATAAGAATAACACACCTGCACTATGTCCCAGGCTGCTTATCAGAATTTACTACCTGAAGTGCTGTCAGACCTGTCAACAAGAGGTTGTAATGACAGACAAAACAAAGGCTGAAGGAACTCTCCCCCTGCAGGTTTAGAGCCTCAGACTCCTGTAGGGCAGCTGGAGGATGCTCAAGGGATATACACGTTGTCCATGCCAGCCTGTGAGGGTTTTACACAGCTTCCTCCAAGGAATCTTCTCACAGGGGTGGCAGGAGATAGTGGATAGGGTATAGTGTATTGGGAAGAGTAGCATTCCACATGGACTGCTGAGGGGTTCACATCTTCCAAACTGGATTACAGTGTCCGGTGTGGAGAAAGCCAGTTGGGAAGGAGAGCAGACAAGTGTTGCTGGCCCTGTACATAGCCTGATTTGCACTTCTGTGGTGTAATTTTTTTTTTTCCCTGTTATCATGAGATCTTATACAAGGTGCTTTCCTTGGCTTCCCATCACTAGGATGTGAGAAAACAAACTCACACTACTAAGGAAGGCAGGGCTGCCAGTTTTACACTCTGTCAGCCTGCTCTGCAGTCCAGGCATGGCTGACCACATCCTGAGGGGTAAAAGGTGCTGACTGTTGCTTCAGCTTTCTCAGAATCACGTCTCAGAATCACATCCTTCTTTTTTCTTCCAGTTGGCTGTCTAATAACGAGGCTGCTGCAGGCTTCAGCAATGACATTTTTCTCCGGCTTCAGGAAAAGGTGGAGAGAGGGGATCAGGCCTACTGCTACTGTGCTGTGATGGTACAAGACATGTCCCTGCAGAAGCAGCAGGAGTGGGACCCACAGACCAGGCGCCTGACAGGCTTTGTTGACCTGGGAGCAGGCATCCTTGATGCTGATGAGGCTCCGCTGGCCTCGGAAGCAATAATCCTCATGGCAGTCGGCATCTCCAGTCCCTGGACAGCTCCACTGGGCTACTTCTTTGTGAACAGCATGACTGGCCGCTTGCTTGCTCAGCTCTTTCATCAGACCATCAGTAAGCTGAATAACATTGGGATCACGGTCCTGGCTGTGACATCAGGTGCCTCTGCTTGCGGTGCTGAGACCGCCAGAGCTTTGGGGATCAGGATGGATCCCGAAAGGATTAGGTGCACTTTCCATCATCCGCCTGGTTCTGCTCACAGCATCACATACTTCTTTGATGTTTGTCACGCCCTTCAGCTGATAAGGAATGCTCTGCAGTGCTTCCAGAAAGTAGAGTGGCTCAGTGACACTATGTGGTGGCAGCATGTGGTGGAGCTGGCAGCTCTGGGGGAGCAGAGGGTGTTGGAGCCATGCAGTCCCAGCTCAGGCAGATCTGGGAGCAAAGAGAGTTACCACCTGAAGGTCAACTTTGCTACACGGTTGTTCAGCGAAGGTGTTGCCGATGCCCTAGAACACCTCCAGAAGCTGGGCCTGGCCTCATTTCAGAACTGCAGTGGCACTGTCAAGTTTGTGCGTTTGATGAGCTCTCTGTGCGATGTCTTTTGTGGCAGAGGTCCCTATGGAAAGGGACTGAAGGTGCCTTTGCTGGCTGGAAATTACACCAAAATAAGCAACCTCTTCAATGAGGCCAAGAGCTTCTTTGTCACCTTAACAGACTCTGTGGGGAGATACATTATTAAGAGCAAACGCAAACTAGGATTTCTGAGTCTCTTGCTCAATGCTGAAAGCCTGAAGTGGCTTTACTCCAACTACATGTGTCCAGAAGGCACTCCTTCCCACCACCTCCAGACCTACGCCTTCAGCCTGGACCCACTGGAGCTGTTTCTCAGGGCCCTCCAGCAGGCCTGTGGCACCAGTGGGAGCCCCACCTGCACTGTGTTCCAGGCTGCTTATCACAAACTGCTGGCCAGCTGCAGCCTGTCACCAGGCTCACCACACGGCAGTGGCTCAGGCAATGTGAGCTCCTTGGACGTATCCCTGTCTCATAGCAGAGATCTGACCCTGGGCAGCATTCGTGCTCAGTATAACCCAGCTCGTGGGAGGGCACTGGCAACGGAGTACCCCTTCTGCGCAGGCCTCCTTTTGCACAGCTCCGCGCTGAGTAACGCGCTGACGGACCTGTCACTCCACGCATGGAGCGTCACCTGCGCCGCCAGCTTCGTGGCTGAGCAGTTGGCCTGGGACTTGCAATGCGAGGCTTGTCTCGCTTCCCTCTTTGACTCAGATGAGAGCAGGCTGAGGTGCAGGTCAGTGCTCTACGTAAAAAAGCTAGGCAGAGTGAGTCTGCCCTCGGCAAGTGTGCACTGCATAGCAAGCATTTCGGAACGAGTCCTAAAGCGGTACGGTAACAAAAATACCAAGCTGTGGCATTCGTCTCTAGAACAGAAAGTCTTCCAGGAGCTTCTGGGAGAAAGGCCCCTCTTCCCCACCCTCACAAACCATTTATTTGAGGGGGAGTTGAGCATCAACAACCACTACACAGTTTTACTAAAGAAAATAACAAGATGTTACTTAAACATGAGAACAAACCCTGCGCAACACCTGAACTTGAAATACCCTTGTGGAAGGCACAGATTGAAAAGACATTTATTTCCATCACCACTGGGTAGCTGTCAGTCAAGTTGTACTCATGTGGCATCATGAGTACTCTGCTGTTGCAAGGATGGCTGTGCCCTGCTGAGGGGCTCAGCAATGGCTGGATCTAGGGAACGCGTGTCTTCCCATGATTCGGCCACCAAAACTGGTATTAAGCAGTGATGTGCTGGGCCTCAGCAAAGCACCCGATTGGAGTCTGACTAAGCAAATCAAGGAGGTTTATCTGATCCTGCAAAGCAGCCACACACTTCATGAAACTTGTGTGGCAGGTCAGGATGAGCAAGGGTTGCTTGAGGTGCCTGGGACAGTGGTAGGAGACACTGCAGTGTCCCCCTGGAGGTGCTGGGTGGCTCCATGCTGTGAGCGCTCTTGCCAGGAGAAAACTGATGCGTATTCCATGTGGCTGGGTGGCTGGGAGAGATCACGTGTGCTGGCAATTTGATTTCACCAAAACAGATCTGCTTTATGAAAGCCACAGGCAAGAAAGCTTGAAGAGCTTTTACCTTAAAAGCAAAATAAAGACGTGAAAAGAAAGCGGCACTCAAGTTGTACCTGGGTGTGCTGTAGCAGGGCGAGTGTTTCAGGTCCCATTTCGTGGCCCCATCAGCTCACCTACGCAAACTCAACTGTGTCCTGCAGCCCAGGGCACAAGGGAGTCTCCTTTTGATGTTTCCACTGATGACTTGAGTCACAGCTTTGATGCCATCAAGTAGGACAGGCTTTTTCAGTTAATTCATTTCCATGGCAATTGAAACTGCCTCCAGCGCTTTACCAGGAATAACAAAGTTTGGCATGACTGCTACTAAATGGCATCCCTTACCGTGCAGAACAGCAGTTGCATCCATAGAGACAGAAGGCAACTAATTCCCACCAAACTTGCTGTTCAGTTACTTTCAAGCTTCTCATGATGGAGATGGGATGAAAAATGGTGATCCACCATGTCCTAGGGCAGGAATAATAATTAAAGGTGCCATTCTGCCTACCAGTGACTTGACGAAACTGTCCCTGGTTGGTTCGGGTTCTTCCTCCTCTCTTTAGTCCTAATCACACCGTGGGAGCAGAACTGCTGCACTCAATTCCTCAAGCTCTGGTTTGAGAGCTGCAGCACCACAGAACTTCATGCAATCACTGCTGGGAGGAACAATCCAAAACCTTTAGACTGTTTTTTTCCACTCCAATTACCTATGCAAAAAGCTGTGTTGAAGCCATCACTGTCATGGAGCCAATTCCAGCTACAACATACTTTGCAGAAAACTATTTCCCTTCAATATATATATATACACACATGATTTTTAGGACAAGTGGAAAAATGCTGCCAAAATCCCAGTGCTAGATTGGTTGCAATCATATATTGTTGTAACACTCAGACTGCCTACACCTCCAGCCCCAATATGAGTAGTTATGGACTGGGATTGCTGTGCATGACAATATACCAGTAACCAAGGGATATTTATCTCTGGTAGAATTTGGTCTCATACTGAAAATGCAAGTTAGTACTTGCATCAGAAGTGGACCTAGTATTAACAATTTATTTTGATATTTCAGTATTTGTCAGTGCTGAAGAAAAGGAGTGCAAAAAAAATCGTATTTACAGAATAGTATAAATGTTTATTTTTTGTGATTTATCTGACTGTTTTATTTGTACAATATAGAAAAGTGTATTTTTTGAATAGGTCTTGTAAATATAAATTTAATTTTTCTACTTTTGGATGTAAACAGAACTATAAAATGAACCCTTGCCCCATTCCCAATTATTTTTATTTAACTGGATGAACTGGATGACTGTAAATCTTGTCCAGCAGTTTGATGCAAATGGCTAAGGAAGTACAAAAACCAATTCATACACTCTACACCAGGGAGAGAGGAATCCAAGCTTAATATTTGAGAAAGCTTGTTCAAAACAAAATAGAAGAACTAAGAGCATTTGATTGCACCTTCAAAGTCTTTACAAGCAAAATATTCTCCAGCAATGCCATCATACATAATTACAACTGTAATCTAAATTTCACAAGTGCTTTTGCACACTGTATATAAATACACATCACAAAAGGTGCAATTTAGAGTAGGACACGGAATATATACAAAATTAACATGGACTGAAGTCTAAACAAAAGGCATATTGCAATCTGTTCGAAAAATAACGTAAGTAGGTATTACTTTATTCACTTACACTAATTTACATTTATACAAATCTTACTGGACATACTATATTAGGTCACTAGAAGTAAACAGAATATCCGCACTATCTACAGGTAAAGTTACTGCACTGATTTTTTTAGTAAATCCAAGTCCTAATCATGAGAAAAATGGCATTTACTTACACAAGAGGAGGATTCCCTTTTCAGAGATATGCACAAATATACTTGGTATTGACGCTCAGGGAGATGTTAATGGCAGACAGAGCCCTTCAGACAGTGACTGGCAGGCCGAGCCCTGTCTGCAACAGCCACCCAGTGGGCCCAGCACTGCTGCTGGATGCTTCCCAGGCCCTTTCATGCCTCCAAGGCATTTTGAGGAGGCACTGGTCAAGGGCCTTCTGCTCAGTGCACAGGGCTGTGAGGTGAAGCATCCTCCCATCCTATTTATTGCCTTCACACACATAGGCACATATCTCTGCTGCTGGTTTGCCTAGGCCCTACTTTTCCCCAGCCTGGCCCTGCTAGAAAACCTGAAGAAAGAGCTCTGCTGCATTTCTCTGTATTTACAGTTTTAATAGAAGGAATACAAAATACCTTTTGGAAAAACATAGCTAGTTCAGGCTGCAGTGAGACAGGTAATAAAAATGCCTGTGATTAAACATGGTTAATGGATGTTCACGATAGGTAAGTAACCTACCAAGTTAAATTTGCAAATGTGTTCCACTATCAAAAATGTGATTTGAGATTGCCTGTAACAAATACTGAAAAAAATCCCCTGCCTTAGTCTATACCCAGCTATAGCTGATTGCCCCCCCATTTAGTGTAAAAGGATCTGTGTGTCTGTTTTCGTAGCAATCCTGATTCTGTGCTAGTATATTCTCTGATCACAGCTCTCACAATTATTCTCAACAACTCTAAAAAAGCCCTTATGCCAAGAAAATTGCCAAGGCATAGAGAAGCAGCATCCTGAAGACCCACAGCCAGGCTGAACATGATCCGTACCTGCATTTGCAAGTCGATTCAGATGCAGATTGTCATCTCCCATGACTTCAGCTTCTCAGGCTTAAACAACTTCCAGGGCTACAGCTTGATCCTAGAAAACACAATGGACTGCACAGCCCTGCTTCCAGTGAGGGATTAGGCTGCTGCAGGCCTCTGAAAAACCAATCTTCACCTAAGCAACAGCGTCCACCTGCTGCACACTTAGGTAACACTACGCTGGGCAGACAGTTTGGCATCACGGCATTGCTGCCACCTGGCATCACTTCTGAGAACAGGCCACTGTCTTAGCCTTCAAGTTCCAGCTTAAGAAACACCTGAGCTCTCAGCCACATTCCTATCAAAAATTCCCATTAATTCCATTTTCCTCTAAACTCCTTGGGCCCCACTCCAGCCAGATTCTCCACAACTTGCTCAATGCTAAATCTGCAAGCGACCCCTCTGTATTATTGCCTAGGTATTTCACAGTGCTCCGTGCACTAAAGGAACATGCTGCATCAGGTCCTAAATACAAGTACTACCTTCCAGTTGAATGCTCATTTTTACATACTTCCTTTCAGAATTATCTTGGATACACTGGTACCTCCTTATTACAGGTCTGTCACCAAAAGCATGACCCAGCTGTTGACATCATCTGTGTTTTCCTGTATGCACAAAGTGATGCCAATTCATACACCGTAAATAATATATATTATAATAATTTATATATGCCCTTCAGACAATTATTCTGGGGAAAGGGGAGAACACATCTAATTTTAAGAAATCCAGGGTAAAAGCTGTACATTGGGAAGAAAAATTGACCTTTAGGCATTGTCTTAAGTAGAAGAGGATTTAGCTAAGATTTAAAAGGCTCTACATCTTGTTATAAAAGATCGTTTCAATCTTACATGGGTCAATTTACAACAAGCACCAAATTAACAAATATTATTAAATCCTTTATGCTACACCAAAGTGTCCCTGTGCCTTAAGTGTTCTGTTTCAGTCCGCTTCGTTGCGGCTCATGTGCACGAGTCAGCAGTTCATGGCACAAGGGTCACCTTTGGACTTCCCTGCAGAGCTGATAACCCTCATCAAGCAGCGTCCAAACTCCTCCAGGATCATGCGCTCCGCTGCAGCTTTGGACTTGCCCGTCTTCTCCGCTTGCTCTGCCTGCGCGAGAAGGCATTCGCAGGTTGCATCGGCCACCTCCTTGGTTACAAATGTAAAGGGCAGCCTGAAACAAAGGAAGATCCCCTTGGTCTCTGTAAAAAAACACACAAGGCACCTAACTCTGGGACAGGGCAACTTCTTAGTACAAGGGCTGGCGAGATTTCATTTGTCCCATTGCTTCCAAGAGCCTTTAGACAACCTACAGGGAGTGAATAAGCCCCAATTAACAACAGTCAAATGAACTGATGGGCCCTTATGCTTTGGTGCCTGCCTCCATTGATGGACATTTTGGAACAGTCATTGAAATGCCCAGGTAGACAGAACCATTCTCCAGCTTTTACTACAGGGGTAGCTCAAGGATTACATCCTCTCAGTAAATGGCACTTGTACTTCTGTGACCACTGTGCTTTCTGTGAGCACACAGGCAACGAAGAGAAGACAATACTTAGTTACAGCTAAGCTTGGCATGCCCCAGGTCCCACAGAAGGCAGGAACAAAAAAGCTCCATTCACCTGACTGCTCCTGCTTCTACAGCTTACACAGACAAGATTCAAAGATGACAGGGACATACCTGTCACGTACATCAAAAAACCCACACTAGAAACAACTTAAACACGTGCAGCATTAACTTACTTCCCACCACCACTGCTGAGTGCTGGTGCTGGCCTTGTCAGCAAATCTGAGATCTGAGAAGATAGCTTGGTCTTTGCAGCAGTCTGCTGCTGGACTCTAACTTCTGCAGCATCTGCTAAATGCATCAACGTCTTCCGCTCTGGGCTCTCTTCAAAATTTTTACAGCCAATGCATTTGCATATGGAAGAACACATGATTTTTGCCTGAAAGAAACAAAAAACCCATAAGAGACCTGTTGCAACCTTGAGCCCTTTTATGACAAGCCACAACAAAAAGATCTTGTTTTAATCTCGTACTAATTAGCCACTAGAAGAAACCCCCAAGCAGTAATTTTCTCTCTAAATTCTTACCTCAAGCTGAGATGCTTTCCAAGAATGTATACTTGAATCAAATAACAGAGCATAAAATGTAAATCAATGGTTTCCCACTCATCCCTTTCTTCACCAACCTCCAGTTTCCGTGGGAATTTAGAGGGTTGAGCTA